TGATTAAAGCCACTGGTGGCTTATTTAGCCTTGATAATGACCAGATTATTTATTATTATTATCTATAAATCATGACAAGTCTGTCGTGATTACACTGTACTCAAAGTAAATACTTGGAAAGAAGAAAACAACAACAACAACAAAAGCTGGTTCTGAAAGTCAGGAGATGAGTTGGAAACAAGCATACAGTTTATCACCAGTAGATAAATCATTGGCTTGTTTTCATTGGACTTACAAACCAAAGTGTGTGTGGCCTCTGTTGTGTCATGTAGCTGTGTATGCTGGATTTCGTTGGTGTTCTCAAACATCTTTCACACAGCTCAGGTTTTTACTTTTTGGAACATTTTTGCAAAGCCAGTACTGGAGCTACATCGGTTTCCACAGATCCTTCTGATGCAAGAACATAATAAGTCTACAGATTACTGATTAGTGATTACTGTGTACTCAAGCTTTTTGTGGTTTTGTGCATCAAAGCAATGAGGTGACTACTGAATGTCAGATACTGGCCAAAACGCCAAAGGCAGACTGCAAATGTAAAACCGTCTCTAGGTAGAAAACAGGAGAAGGTATACAGCTCCTGTGTGATTCGCTCCTCTGGCTTGTGTGAGACAGGAAGCATTTTTCTGTGTTGCATCTTTTTGTTACTACTGATTTTTAAATAGTTTGCATTGTTTATGTAAGTAGTGATAAAAAGTTGTATATAAAACTTTGCTTTCAAAATTTGCACACAAGTTGTTGGAATTCACAGTTTAAGTTTGCATTTTAAGTTATGAAATGGATTCGTTAAATATGATTGTGGTCTTCACAGTAAAAAAATGAAGGTTTCCAATCAGCTTTTATGTTTTTTTAAGACAAAATTAAAACATTTCAGTCATTTAATAGGAGTCAGAATAGAGTCGCTGCTCCTCCACATCAAAAGGTGACAGTTGAGGTGTTCGGGCATCTAATTAGGATGCATTCTGGCCACCTCGTGGGCTCGGGATCGCTGTCATGCTGAAAAATGTGCCAATCAGATGCTTTACAGATGGTAATGTATGATGGCTCAAAATCTGATGTCACTTTTCTACATTCATAAGTCAGTTTTGACAAGATCTCCAACACTACTGGTTGAAATGTAGCCCCAAACCATGACAGAGCCCTTATTAGATCTTACAGATGTTTGGAGCCGTCTTTATTGAACATCCTAGGAAAATGGTGAAGTATGAAATTTAGACTGCAAAGAAAAGACCTTCAGAAAGTCGGGCAAACAAATACACAAAACCACTTTTACAATGTAGAAGAAAATGTTACTTTTTTACTTTTAAAAAAAGAATAAAGAAATGAACGGTGGCTCAAGACATTTGCACAATCTGAAGCTTGGTATGGTTTAGGGGACCAGGCCGGGGTCATTTTGCTTCTAAACCTTATGTACCCCAAGACCGGGCCGTAACAGACATCTAGCAACATTAATCAACTTGAGATATTCTCCATGGATTAATCAATCACAGTGCTGCCCTCCACTTTGCAGCCTGTGCGTGGGCAATCTGCCAGTGTTGCGAGCAGATTTTGACGTGACATCACATGCGACACGTTTGTAGCCTGTCAACCAGCCGTGC